CGTCCACTGTAACCCAATTTTCCTATCCAAGTCAGAAATTGTAGCAGGTAACCTATGTGTCTGACCCCAGCTCTTTCCTCTCACACCAGCCTGGCAAAGCAGGTATCCACATCTTAACCTAAGTCACATTACCACTTAACAAGTCAATAGGTCCATTTATAGGGTTAACTGTCCAGGACTGATTGCATGAGAAAAAACAAATTTGCATGCAGGTTATTCTCAAATACTGTGTCGGTCTAGTCAAGTGCCATAACAAAATATCATAGGCTGGGTGGATTATAAATAACAGAAATTTATTTCTCACAGTCTGGAGACTTGAAGTCCAAGATCAAGGCCCAGCGGATTTGGTATCTGATTCAGAAACGGGTATCTTTTTACTGTGTCCTTACATGGTGAAAGGGGCGAGGGTGCTTTCTGGGCCCTTTTTTATAAGGGCACTGATCCAATTTTTGAAGTTTCCATCCTCATTACCTAATCATCCCAAAGTCCCCACCTCCTAACACCCTCACCTTGGCAGTTAGGATTGCAACTTACGGATTTTGAGGGAATGCAAACATTGATCCATTGCATACTCTTTTAAAACATATCTGATAATAATCAGTCTCTTCATTACAGGGAACATCCTTCAGTATGAAATTCACCTGACACTCTACTTTTTCCTGGCAGTCATTCATTCACACCTGTCTTCTCCCTTCCAACCACTAAGAATACATTATCATTCATTCTCTCTCTTCACCCCTCTCCTCTCTTCTCCTCTCCTCTCCTCCAGGACCTCAGCAAAGGCTGCTGGCAAGGTGAAGATGTTAAGTATACCCGTAAGGAAAGCCCACTGACCAGACATTCTCTCTGACATAGTTGTTGGCATAACTCCTTCAAGGTTTGGGGGCAGCAGGTCATTATTTGACTGAATGAGCCAAAGCAAGACTAGTGTAAGCCTCCTAAAGAATGACAGTTCTCACATAGCTTACCACTCTGAGAGTCAAACTGGCAGGAATGAGCTTCTCATTTCTTATTCAGCCATCACAGGAAGTGCCAGGTCTACCCTGGGTCCATCTACACTTGCTTTGTCTGTAGAATCTTCCTTGTTGGTTATTCTGAACACTATAGCTTTTTGGAGCAGAAATGATAATAGCCTAAATGATTCTTTTAACTCAAATCATAACTGAAAAAATACAAGAAACAAAACTATTGGCTAGATCATTTGTTTAGGGGAAAGAAAAAAAAACACCTCTTTATTCTTAGATGATTTATTTCTACCTGCAAAAAGAAATGACATTTAGCCTGCTTCAAAGTTTGATGAGATAATAATTAGTAGCTACAGGAATCAGATAACTGGGAGGCTGAAAGCAGCCTTAAATTACCAAGGCCAGCTGTTAGACTGCACAGGTGAGAAAATAAGGCAGAGAAAAATTAGATGCCTGCACCAATTTGAGGTAAGTTTGACTAGAACTTGAATGTCCTGATTCTCAATCTATAATTTCTACATCTCCTAAACTCAGGAGGAAAAAAATGCATTAATGTTGTCTTTCAAAACAGTAGTTGAAAAAATTTTTTATTCCCAAACAGGAATTCAGCAGATGCTTGATCCCACATTTATAAATACCATAGCAACATACATTTTTTAAAAAAATTAAATTTGGAAGAAGCATTTATTATAATACCAGATAATGGATTACTGAGCCCAAACAAGCATTAAATCAAGAAAATTCATCAATAGGTAATGATGCCACATTATTAAATAGCATTTTCTTCCTTGCCATCAAGCTAACAACATAATATAATGGTATACACTACAATTTTCATTCTAGGAGAAGCCATCCAGTTTTTGTTTTTCACAACGGATATTTTACTACCAGTCAAGACATTATCTACAGTGGCCCTTCCTGTCTCTAGCCAGAGCTAAGTGTAATGAAAAGACTATGCTTAACACCACCAAGCTTTGAGCTATTCACGGCCTCAGTCAAAAGTTACTGAATTGAGGCTGCTCCATTTTTAACCAACCAAGCTGGGCATCCATATTGTTGTTCATATGGTCTATAGCATGGCATTGTTGGTCGCCAATGCCTCCACTGTCAATACGCCAACAGTGAGGATGAATACAAAAAGACAGAACTGTTCAACTGGGATAAGTCCAATTCAGTCAATTCTTTATAAAAAGAAATACAGAAGACTCTGGAGAAAGTATTTTGAAATTTACTATTTTAGCCTCACCAAGGGCATTACAGACCCCATTTAATGGAAATAAAGATCTTGGACAATCTACTTCATAGATATGTTCTTAGCTTTGAAATTAACGACAATAGAGGAAGAAAAACAAATACGATCCTGAGGGAATCGTATACTATAACAGCATTTCATTTCACAAAGGGATATACAACAGGTTCCTTTAAAGCATGTTATACATTATAGAATAGTGCAAAAGGGAAAAAGGCACACACAACACATTAGAAGGGTACAGAAAGTGAGTTGTACGAGTACTAACATTATCACTGGTTCAGTTATGCTGATTCTGGCCCTTGATGGATGCTAAGATGAAGGCCACAGGTTCGATACCAGAATGTGTCATTTAGGCTTGAGAAGAGGAGAAACATGCCCAACCTGTAATTTGGGATACAACTATACTCTTGGATTTTTAGAGAATTGATAGAATCTGAATGGTTAATGACAGAGTTGTCACTGCTATAGCAAGAAAAAAAAAATAGACACCTTTCCTAAATTCAGTAGCATCCTGTGGTATATAGGCCATACTGAGTTATTACTCCTACCAGTAGTCATAAACTTTCACCTTCCATGCAGGCCATTAAATCACCTGCACTTAAATCAACGGCCTGAAAGAAACTGACCAACTCCCTACATATCAATCTGAGGACATTTGCTGTGACTGATAGTTGAAAGCAGCTGACCCCTTTGTGTAAACTCTTAAGTGATGGGATTGTGCAAAGGAAGAAAATCTGTTCAGGAAGAGGGAAAATGAACTTCTAGTTTTCAGTGATTACATTTTAATTTTTTTTTAAGGCAGAGAAAGTCTAAATATAAAGCTGTCCCCATTCTCTAATTTTATTTTTCTCCAACCTAATGAACAGCCTGGAATCGGCTTTCTGCATACAGGTCATTAGCTGACATGGTTTTGTTTTCCAAAACATAAGACTATATATCTCTTTCAAATGCATAAGCTAAGTAAAAGTGATCCCAGCCAGAACTTACCAGTCAGAACTGATTAGATATCATTGGACAACTGTGTGGAGCCCCTACTATGTGTCGACACAGAGGAAGCTGCCATTTCCTGGGAGGCTTTTTTTTTTTTTGAGAGAGAGATTGCAAGGTTGGATATGAATTCCTATTTTCTGTAAGTAAACATTTGCTCTAGAAGCAACTCTAAACCTGCCAACACACCCACTTTTTCACAGTAAGCCTTAGTGCTTAGACAGGATCAATGAGATATCTGTGCTGGATTCCAATCATTTAAAAATAGGTTTTTTAGCCCTGGCCAGGTAGTTCAGTTGGTTGTCCAGATATGCCAAGGTTGTGGGTTCAATCCCTGGTGAGGGCACATACAAGAATCAACCAATGAATGCATAAATAAGTGGAACAACAAATTGATGTCTCTCTTTCTCTTTCCTCCCCTTCCTCTCTCTCTAAAATCAATAATTTTTTTAAAAAATAGGTCTTTAACTCCGTTCCATTGTGCACCATGAGTCTCTGCATGTAGATAGCTCACTTAGTTCTTAAGCAACAATGTTGCCCATTGAAAAATGCAGCTTTCTTCAAAAGATATTTTTTGTTCCCATGAAGCTTTGTCTGTTGCCTTTTACAGCAACAAATGACACAAAAGACAAATTCTGTCATCCTCAACAGCAGATTTTAGACAAACAGAAACAGCAAACGAAACAACAAAGGCTTAGGAAACAAAACCAAGGCAAGCTAAAGGCAGGGGAAGAGAGATGGAGTGGAAGCGAGTAATAGAGAGTAAACTCTACTCAGTGATTTAAGAAATTCAGCCTTTACTGATGACGGGGGTGAGGGGACAAGAGAGTAAAGGGGTGGTGAGGTTTTCAGCTGAGAAAAAGAAGTGTGTCCCGCTGTCCCATATTGTTTAAATAAGACCAGGGGAGCCATGGCAGGGCAAAATCTAGTTTAGTGACTAAGACCGAATCCATGAAAGTAGCACGAGTTTTTTCATGACACAGAGTGGCTACCCAACCAAATCCGAAATGTATGCAATAGTATGTGAATTCTTCAAAATTTTTAAGTGCATTCTGGTACCCAAACCAATGTATGGGTATTCACAGGAAATAGCTATCAATTTAATATCACCATTCTGCAGGCTGCGCACCCCGTCCTGTCATATCCTCTTTTAAAGAAACAGCTAATGGCCTGGAGTGTTGGAAACCTACAAACTATTGTCACCTATTTCCCAGGACTGTGGGCCTAATACTCAGTGTCACCGATGGAAACCAAAGAGCGGCCAGAAGCTGAGTCCCTGACGAATTCGTGAAGCACAACCCCGACAACCCGTGTGCCGGGGGAAACGACTAAAAGTGTGCACGGTTCCTCCGCCCTCCCGGCCGCGCGTCCGTAACGTTCCTGGCTGTCAGGTGGGTGGCGGCGAGCCTCCGCGGACCAGCCCTGCCTGGCAGCGCGGCATGCTCCCGGGGCGGAGAGGGACACGTCCCGCGGAGTGCGGAGCGTCCCACGGCCGGCCGCTCACCTTTGTTCGCCTGCCCTCGCTGCGAGGAGAGAGCGGGCCAGGGAGTGCAGGGGGCGACCCTGCGCTCGCGGCCCCTCCCCGGCGCCCCGAGGAGCCCTTAGGCAAGCCAGCTCCCCTCTAGATCCCTGAAAGGCAGCCGGACTGAAAGGTCAGCAACCCCTTCCCGAACACAAAGGTTGGGAGGCGTGAGCGCGAGCACTGGGGGCGCAGATGCATGAGCCACAGAGCACACGAGTGTGCGTGTGCACGCGTGTGTGTTGGGGGAGGGGAGGGGCGCTCCAACCCTTCTTACCTCTCGAAGAGGAGTCGCACCATGAAGATGCAAAAGGCCAGGGGGAAGGCGAGATAGAGGTCCTCAGCCTGCGGGAAGGTGGCTTCCTCCGTGTTTTTCAAGTCCGCCCAGGTGACATTGTGCGGCAGCCAAAACCTCTCGTTCCAGAACCAGGCTAAGATCCCTGCCATCTTGCTTTGTCCACTCCTGTCCAGGCTCCCGTGGCCCGCCCTGCTCTTCGCCGCGCAGGTCGCCCAGGGATGCGCGCGGCTGGCCCGAGCCGGTGCCGCCGCCGCCGCCTCCTCCGCGACCGCTGCTCTCGAAGGCTCGCGGCGAGCCCCAGTTCTCTCTTCCCTCTGGCCGAGCAGTGGAAAGGGGCCGCCTCGTCTGTCACATGGCAGCCCGGGCCGATCGCCCTGATTGGTTCACCCTCGCGTCAAGCAGCGAAGCACACGCGGCCAGCTCGCCCACGCCCGGAGGGAAGGGCGCAGCCGCTGCGCTCCCGGCGCTGGGGCGCTGCTCCGGGCAGTGCTGCCCGGTCCGAGCTCGCTGTATTCTCACTCTGTGCCTTGGGCAGTGACTTGGGGCCGGCCCCTCTCACCCGCCCCTCGCACATGCTCAGAATGCCGGCCCCTGCCCCGCTGGAGTTTCAGGGGTCTCAGGCCACTTCCCGCGCGCCTGCAGGCAGTGAAGTGGCACTCAGGGGCCGGCGAGATTCTCAGAACCACCCCAGCACTTTAGGGAAAATGGCAAAAGGAGAAGTGGGGGGCGCAAAAAGCAAAGAAAGAAGAAGTATCAGGGAAGGAGAGTCCTCCTCCCTGCTCAGAGAGTCAGGGTGAAAATCAGGAACTGGCGGCATGAATGGTTTGACAAGAGCCATCTACCTCTACCCGCCTCGCGTCTTCCTCCCATCTCTGACCTTCCGGCCTCCTTATGCTATTGCTGGTCACCACAATCAGTTCCCCCAGGGAACCAGGGCCTCTTATTTTAACGTATGGGGTGGTAGGAGAAATTGGGCACTTAATTGCTATCTGATGGTGAAGAAGATGATGATAGCAACTGCAGCATTGTGTAAAACAGCCCCCTCTAAAGGAACCTCTCAGAAAATGCCAGCAGACCAGATTTTGGCTTCACTTATCAGTAGAGAACTTTACTATTTGATAGGCTCATTATTACTATGAAACCTTTAAGGCATTAACCCAGACACGTTCCCTCCCACATAGTATCTCCAAACTGATTCGGGAATTATCTGTGGATCATTTCAGTAGCCCATGCAGATATTTTGTTCCTTTTTCTCACAATCATTCGTTTTCTGCCTGGTTTTGCCAGTAAGTTTGGACCTTTCCAAGAGCATATAAATAGACTCTAAATACACACTTCTTTACTCTCCCTCTCTCTCCAGCTACCACCCTTTTTCCAGGCCTTCCCTATAAAACAATACTCTAAAGAATTGCCTGCATTTATTACTTTCAGTTTCTTTTCCCTCCATTCAATTTCGAACTACTATGTTGGCATTTGCCCCTCTCTGCCGCCCTGCTGTGCTCAAAGTCACCAATGATGTGCATGTGCTAAAGCCAAAGGTCAGTTCTCAGCATCTCTGCCAGTAGCATTTGGCCAAGGTGTTCAGTCCCTGACTCTTGAAACATTTTTCTTGTCTTGGCTTCCAGAAACCACATTTTTCTAGTTTTCTCTTACCTCATAGCCACTTTTTACCCAGTCTTTTGAGAGTTACTCCTCACCTTCCTAACCCCTTAAAATTAGTGGCTTATGAGTTTGTCCTCTTCACTTTTCTATCTACATTCATTCACTTTGTGATCTAATTCAGTACCATGACTTTCAAGTTCATACTGATGGTCTCCCAGTATATACCTCTAGCTATAAACTTTTCCTTGAATTTCACACTCCTAAGTCTGCTGTCAATTCACCAACTCCACTTTGATATCTAAGAGCTATTTCCCGTCTAAACTACTAATCTTTTCCCTAAAATTTTTCCTCCTGTCTTCTTGGCCCAGGCCAAAGACTTGTAGTCATCTTTTTGCTTTACTTTCTCAAACCTTCTTTCTAGTCCATCACAAATCGCATCTGCTTCCTCTTTAAACCAGAATCACACCATCTCTCACCGCCTCTTCTGCTACGATCTTGGTCCAAACAATGAGTATTTCTCACCTGAATTACCCGGTAGCCTTCTAACTCAGCCGCAGTGATCCTCTTGAAACGTGTCAGATCACATCTGTGCTTTAAAGCCTTGCTGCCTCCCTATCCATCCCCAATTGGAAGCCAATTCATTTCAATGTTCTAAGATATTTGATTCCGTAAGAGTTCTCTACCCGCATCTTCTCTCTCCTTTCCCTCTCTCTTAACTCTTCTTGGTCACACTGACCCCTCTGCCCTTCATGCCATATAGCTTTTGCACTTACTTTTCTCTATTTCTGGAACTTTTCCCCCTAACTATTTATATCTGCTCTTTCTAGAATGTCACTCATTCCAAAGCCTTCCTTGGCAGCCCTAGTTAATCTACAACTCTCATTTCCCACCCCGCTCTTCCCATCCAACTTTCCTGCTTTGTTTTCTTTAAACACATGCATCGCCATCTAATACAACATATTGTTTACTTATTTCTTTATTGGCTCTACACACACATACACACACAAAATGTAAGCTTCAAAAAGTTAAAGATTTGTCTATCACTGCTCTATTCTTAGCACTTAAAATAGTGCCCAACCCATAGTAGGTACTCAATAAACTATTGAATCACCATTACTTCAACCTTGTAAAAATCTTCTCTAGGAGACGGAAAAATTTGAATAAGTAATTGTGTTAAATGTTTATCTATTCATTTGAAAAATAATGTGGGCATAAAGCAAGGATTGATCAATTCTGAGACAGAATAGGAGTGGTGTCCTCAAAGCAAGTCTTCATGAAGGAGCAGGTGTCACTGGCCCTACGTTAGACCATGCAGCTGGCTGCTCAGTGTTAACTGATCACTCCAGGAAGATGCCTTGGCATCAACTACATTCTTTTTTTATTAACCCTCCCCCAAAAATATGTTTATTGATTTGAGAGAGAGAGGAAAGGAGGAGGGGAGAAAGAGGAAGGGAGAAGGGGAGAGAGACAGAGAAACATCGATGTGAGAAACATTGATGGGTTGCCTCCCATATGCACACTGACTGGAGATGGAACCCACAGCATGTGGCCTGACTGGGAATTGAACCTGCAACCTTTAATGTACAGGATAATGCTCCAACCAACTAAGTCACCCAGCCAGGGCTCAATTGCATTTTTATAGGCCACAAAATGGAGGTTTGTTAAGGTCTCTTGCCACCTTTGTGGAAGGAGGCCATGTCATGGCAGACCCTGACCTCTGGGCCAGCCGGACTTCCTCTGTGGCTATCTCTGGTCCCTCATGTCACTTTCATGTATGACATGACAATATCTGACAATAGCTTGCCTTCTACCCTAGGACTTCTCTGCTTTCTAGCAAGTCCTGCTGTTCTCCAAGCCTATACAACAGAAGAGTTGGTGAGTTAATGCCCTGGATCCTGAACTTTGGCCAAGGGCAATAAAAGCCTGTAGTTTATTCCTTTCCTCCTCTGCCCATTGGGCCATACGCAGTCGCTTCAAATAGCCTCTCTGAAAACATCCTTTGATACAAAGCGATAAGCTTATTTCAAAATTGTGGCCAACCCAGTAACTCACTCCCTTATACTTCCTTTTTCTCTTTCTCTGCCTCACCTTCCTTTTCCCTTGTTACTGCATCTCTGAAATTACACTTCCCTGGAATTGCTATTTTTTTCCTAGAAAAGGCAAGCTAAGGCACCATTCCTTACATGTTCATCAACTTTGAGACGGTGGTGGGATTTCAGGAACATTTTAAAAATGGGGTTTTTTTGGACAGTGGAAGAGTAATTTAATACCTCTCTGTGAATCTTGCACATATCATTTAGTTTGTAAGAGCATTTTGATGTCCTCTGGTGTAAGTTGTATACCAATAGTACCTGTCTTACCTATGTTACTTAGTTGGCATGAGGCTCACATGAGACAACACGTATGGAAAGAAGCTTGTAAACTCTTCACCTCTATATACATGTGCATTTTGGCAAACTTCTACTTTTTGATCAGCCCAACATATCTTCTCCAGGCAACAGCCCCTTCCTACCACCCTCCATCCAAAGGATTACCCCATAAATACAATAGAATAAAATATTCACGTCTGACCACATTTTATTGGTTCGGGGATGGACCCTTGGCCTAAGATAGCAATTACAGTTCTCCTTTAGGTACTGACTGGGGCATGGGTCAAGGCAATCTTTCTCTGTACCCTTGGACTCTAAAATTTCAAACTTGGAAGCTATTATCTCCATGTTTCATCACATGGACATGAAAAGCTGAAGCTAGTCTGCAACAAGAGAGAAGAATAAAGCAGACCTGTAGCATTAAGTGAAGGTAAGAGACATAGTTCCACACAAACTTTGGGGGGCCAACTGCTTCCTCATCTGTGAAACAGTCATATCTCTTCACACACACACACACACACACACACACACACACAAATTCTCCATTTTTTATTGGGTTTCTGTTATTTCAATCCGAAGGAGTCCAACTACTCAAGACATTACTCTTAGAGGACACATCTTTAAAACTGTGCTGACGCCAGCTCAGGACTGGGGGAAGGTTGGTCACAGGAGAGACAAGCACAGCACCCCTCCCAGGGAGGCCACCGTATGCCTATGCAGAAAAGTCTTCTCCAGGGTACCAAAATACAATGTGCTCATCAGGCAGGTTGGAAGCTCAAGGCAAAAGCCAATAGTTGACCTGTAAATAGAAGATATAAGAAAAGTAAAAAGATGGGGGAAAAAGCTTTTGTTGGAGGTGCGCGGTGACACTGCCTGCACTGCACATGGAGAAAGCCTGCTCTGGGGCCTGGGTATGAAACGTCACGCAAGAATTCACCCTCTTCCTCCCAGGCAACCAAGCTGCGCATTACTCCTCATTCGTAGGCACACATCTAGGTCTCAGTCCTTCCACATATAATTGAGTCCACTTCTTAGATGCAAGAAAACAGCCAGAAGTTTAATTGAACTTCCCCTATGACTTACGTAACAAAAACTTATAGGACTTGTTCTACCAAAAGAAGACAAAATCTGTTTGGGAAGTAGGATGCATTCATGTGAAAAGCCAGAGGGTAATACCAGTGCCAGTCAAGATGGCACTGGACAACATGCGACAAGAGCCCCAGTATTGCAGATAACAAGGGTTCCTTTGAGCAGGAAGGAAGCCCTTGTTATCTGCAATACTGGAGCCCTTGTCCCGTGTTGTGTTGAAGAGGTCACAGAGAGCTTC